GTGATAGCTACTGGGAGGTCCACCAGCCTCTAGAAGTCTAGAAAACCAATTTTTGACAGTATTTTCTAAAAAGCAGTAGCAACATCACTCTTTCATTTTAGAGTACTTTATTCAGAAAAAAAAAAAAAAGCTTTCAGAATGCTTAATTTTACTTAAAAAATTAAAACCTAAATTGGGAAGGGAAAAAAAAAAAAAAAAAAGGAGGGAGTGGACTCTTCCTTATATTTTCCTGTCATTCAAAGTCATTGATTCTCAACCTTGACTTTACATTAGAATATTTTGAGGAACTTTTAAATCACTCTCTGGGATAAGGGCCCAGAGATTAATTTTTGAAAGCACTGTAAGTGATTCTAAAGGTCATTCGGGGTTGAGAATCATCTTTTCAGTTCCTCTCCGTCCATTCATTCATTCACTCACCATTTATTGCATACTTCCTCATGTCAGCTTTGAGCAAGGAAATGGTGATGATGTAAAACGAGATTCTACAATTGCCCCCAAAGACCTTGCAAGTTAGTAATTCAATTTAATGGAAGTCAATTCAGCAAACATTTATCAAGCTCCTAGGACATGACAGGTACTATGCTAGATACTGAAATGGCAGAGATGAGAGCAATTCCAGCTGCCTAGCATTTATATTCTAGTGGACAGTGTGTACAACTTAGTATCAGATGAGGCAGAATGTGCCATTATTCATCTTTTGCCTTTCTATAACATTTCACAGTAACACAAAACATTTTAACCAACTTATATAACTTAAGCTATATAACCCAATAATTCTTGAGATTTGCGAGCAGCTAGCTATCATTATCTGAAGTTCAGAGAGGAGACTAACATGCTTTGCCAATATGAAGCAGAATAAGTCATCATATCCAAGCCTAGGGACTCTATGGTCAGTGCTTACTGCCTCATTTATGCTAGGCGTGGGGCTCAGAAAAGAGTGGTTGATTTTGAATGCATAAGTGAAGGTATTTGTCTTACGGTATATTTGTGCGTTTGTCTTGGAGATTTTATTTCTGAGAGAGTGAGTAGAGAAGATCATTTCTGTCTACATATTTCCTGAGATACTTCCTCCATCTAATCAAAGGCCTTTTCTGCTCCAGTCTTAATGTATATATTCTTTCTATATGCTCTCCTTCTAACTTTCACCAAAATGGTGAGCTCAAAAATTGCTCTGGATGTCTATTTCTGTGAAGAGAAAACTGAAAACGTTTAGTTCTATCAGCAGATCTGGTTGTCATCAACTGCTGTCAATCACAGAGAGCTTTAATGAGGGGAGTGAAAATTAGTCCAAATGTATGTAAAGAAGGCATACGAGTCTTAGTTTTCAGAGATCTCCATTCTTTCAGCTAATAGAGTGTGAAGCCAAATGCCATCTGGATTAGGACTGGCACATGAGATAGTTGATCATGAACATGTTTTAAGAATTAACCTTATGGCAGATTTGGAGAGTTGACACGTGAGGGAGTCAAGCGTGGGTGAATACCTTCCTTGTGTGGAGAACCAAAATGATATGGGCATCCTTTAGGGTCAATAAGCATAGGAAGATATTCCCGGGTAGCTTGTAAGTTTTATGTTCCCACAATAGCAGAGAATCCACTCAGTGGTTGACTTCCAGATGATCCATGGCCTCTCTATTAGACAGAAGACTCTTACTAAATATTCCACCATGGCACTGTGGAATTGTCTGTCCTTTCCCTAAATGCTCAGCTTTATTAGGACTGTCAGATTTAGGTGCCATAGCCTAAGAGAAGCATGAATCAATTGGAATGTATCCAGCAGAAAACATTCATATGACGAATGTGAACATCATTTTAAAGAACAATTCAGAAGCTGTGAAGTTTTAACCTAAAGCAGCAGAGACCCAGAAATGCAAATGCAGGCACAATAAAGTCAAATATGCAAACATCTATTTGTGCAAAAGGGGGTTACGCTTGTTCTGTCCAGTTCCAGAGAGAAGGAAAATGACCAGAGGTGGAAGTGACAAGGGGGAAAATTCCAGCTTATCTTGATATGGAAGAACATTAGAATTGAGCAGTAGAAGCAGTTGCTTCACAAACACCCTGTTTTCAGAAGTGTTCAAGAACACTATGTTAAGAATGTCAAAATCCAGCAGGCAAGCCCCATCAGTCACAAGAGTCAGCAGACCCGGGAATTTGGGAGCCAACTGAGTAATTTTTGGACCCATGAGTTAGAAGAGAATGGCCTTGGCCTTATGCCAACAGGGGATACTTTGAGGACTCCCACTGTCCCTGTTTTGGGCCCTGAAATCCTTGTGTTAGTCATTTTTCTAGTTAGCAAGTCTTTGAAGGCCTCAAAGACAGATGTGACAGCAGTCCTTTATCCAGGGGCTGAGACCGATCCCTGCCTAGTCCAACAGTTAGGACTTAGGAGAGGGGACTCTGGTAGATTTGGTCCAAATTAACAAGCATGGCGAAGGCTGATATGAAGCCTGGGGAGGAGGAGGTTCTGAAACTAAGAGCTGAAGGTGCCAAGTACCCACAGCTTGGCCCTAGTTGTCACTCCTGCCATTTGGAAGCTCACCTTTAAGAAGAGATGCTGACATCTTAGCAAGGCTGCAGTGTCCGCTGCTGCTCTCCGAGCTTCTCAATGCTGCCCAAGGACGACAAGAAGAAGAAGGACGCTGGAAAGTCGGCCAAGAAAGACAAAGACCCAGTGAACAAACCTGAGGGCAAGGCCAAAAAGAAGAAGTGGTCCAAAGGCAAAGTTCGAGACAAGTTCAATAACTTAGTCTTGTTTGACAAAGCTACCTATGACAAACTCTGTAAGGAAGTTTCCAGCTATAGACTTATAACCCCAGCTATGGTCTCTGAGAGACTGAAAAGTCGAGGCTCCCAGGCCAGGGCAGCCCTTCAGGAGCTCCTTAGTAAAGGACTTATCAAACTGGTTTCAAAGCACAGAGCTCAAGTAATTTACACCAGAAATACCAAGGGCAGAGATGCTCCAGCTGCTGGTAAAGATGAATGAATAGGTCCAACCAACTGTACATTTGGAAAAATAAAACTTTATTAAATAAAAAGAAGAGATGCTTATGTCTATTAGACTTTTATCATGGTGCATCTGGAAGTTTAGCTTAAAGAAATGATGACTCAGAAGTGGGAGTGGACATATGAGAAAGGCCCATTAGGTAGAAGAAGGGTTAGACTCTCTTCACCCAGCACTAGAGGAAGGAAAATCACCAAGGGTGGATATGTTGAGGGGACCAGGTTTCAGTATAATCAATAGCTGGGGGGACTTTAGAACTACTGAACAGTGGAAATTGCTGCTTTACAATAAGTCCAGTCTGTAGAGATGTTTAGGGACAGGTTTTCACTTCAAGGAGGAGGAGCCATCATTCATTCATCATTCGTCCTTATTGAGTAAGAATTGAGATTAAATAAACTCTAATGTAGGAATTTGGATAAAATGTATTTTCTTGAAATTTTGTGAAACTACAGAACACTATTTATTCAACATTCCTGGATGCACTAAAAAGAATAGTTCTCCACAGGTATCTATAATTCTGATTGAATTGTCTGTGCCAGAAGACACTGTTATCTCAGCTGAGGGCAGAGACTATGTATTTATTTTTCTCTGAATCCCTAGCCCATAGGACACTGCCTACTATACAGTAGGTATGCAACAAATGTTTGTTGAGTGAATGTCAAATTAATTTTGTTAATTTGATTGCTCAAACTTGGACCGAGTCCCCTCTGGGTGTAAGGTATGCCTACTCAAAATATATTGATAGCCAACATTGATCAAATTCTTGTTATTGGCTAGGTGCCAGGATTTCATACACTATCTCATTCAATCCCTATGACCAACCCTCTTAAAAAGATCAAGCAGATGCTCTCACTACACCCTTTTTACTAATAAGGAAACTGAGGCATGCAGAGACCAAGTAGCTCCCCCATGGTTACACAGAGAGTGACTCGATGATACAAGATTTAAATTTAGGTTGTGTGACTCCAAAGCCAACACAGTTCATTATTACAGTATAGTCTCAGTAAAGGAGTGATCATTAATAGGGTAAAATATTTTAAAAATATAGCTAACAATTATTGCATGCTTTCTATATGCCAGGTCCGAAGCATTTGTCCATTTATTCCTCACATTAGCCTCACAAGGTAGGTGCTATTATTGTACCCATTTTATAGATAACAAATAGAGTCTAGGATTTTTGGATTTGGGCTTATCAGACTGTCAAACTTATCCTCCAAATGTTATATGATCTTCTTCCATTTTTAGGGGTACTGAAGGAACAAGTATCCCCCAAAATAGAAGAAGAAGAAGACACTGAAGGAGCAAGAACATTTTGGGGGATACCGAAGGAACAAATCATGACTCCTCTTCTGTGAAGTGTGTGTGTTACTTTAAGAAAATTATATTTGGATTTGACCTGTCACTGGATCTCGGCTCATCCAACACTCTGTTAGGATAGGACCATTCCAAATGCTCTTTATGCATGCCTTCTGGGTATCAATTAGCTATGAGTTCAGAGGCAGGTTGGAGGTGACAAGGAAACTCACAAAGAACTGAAAAATTAGGATCAAATGGAGATGGGTTCGGGCGAGGCTCACTATTGCATTAGCTATAGGAATAGCTAATAAAGTCCCATATTTGGAGGTCACTTAACCTCTGCATAGCCTAGTTTCACCATCTATAAAATGGAGTAGCAGGAGTAATTATACCCCTTCCTTCTTATCCATTTTCTAGTTAAAACTTGTAACTTTTTAAGTGGGAAGAATCAGGTGTATTATAAGACAAATGGAATTAGGTGGAGAAAAAGCCTCATTTTGTGATGTAGCCTAACTTTGCTTTATGAAACTAAGTCTACCTCAAAAGGGCATTGAAGCCTCAGAATCCCACAAAATATGGCCCCTGATTCAGAGCTGGAAGAACTCAACCAGATAGATGGGCAGACTTAGATTGTCTTGGGTCTGGAGCTTATACAAATTTTGGACCCTCTTTAGGTAAAAGAATACAAAATTAGACACAAATGAGATTTTGTCACAGATTTTTAATGTGGATTAAATTAAGTCACATAAGAGGTAATTCACTCCTTTTAAAATACCTTCATCTAATCAAAATCAATCATACTTCTGAAATGATTCCTGATCTCATACATTAAGTTGAAATCAAAGGCTGTGGATCATGTTATAATATAACGAGCTTGGCTTTGTGGAAAGAGGCATAGCTTCACTCTTCCCCCATTGGTTTTATATATTTGAGGTCAAAAGCCTTCTTGCTGAGAAAAAGAGAAAAGGGCTGATAAGCGCAAGAGTGCATGTGTGCCTGCAACAGCAATTTGGTGCAGGGAGTTCTGGAGGACAGCCAGGATGTGAGCCATGGCAGAAAATCAGGAGGAAGCTTGGCGTCCACCACATTAACCTTAGGCATCACCTGGGCAAGTCACTCATCAAGAAAACAGTCTACCTCTCTTGGCCCGGGAATCCCTCCTGAGTGCTTCTAGGCTGCCAGTGTCAAATGGTTTTTTAGAGATGCTGAGCAGAAGAGGATTTTCCATTTCACCTTTTGGCCTTCCCTTCTACCTCTTTCAATGAGGACTTGTGCTGCCTCCTGCCAGAGTGTTGTAAGGAAGATTAATTAGCTAATATCGGTTAAGGGCCTTTGATGATGACTGCTAAGTGTTTGCACCATGTAATTGCCATTTTTTCCAAGGAAATACCCATATAGTTACTAATTAGGCATTGTTGGAGCACCTCATGCCCTATTATTTTACAGTTGTCTTGTAATTAACTGGCATCAGTTCCATTTCAAATGACATTTATTGCCCATTTCCCTGGTTTAATTTTTGGAAATTTTATGGGAAGCCTGGGCATTGTTTCTTATTCACTGCAACTTGAATAATTAACAAGGTAAATATGGCTTTGGGTGGTGATATCGTCAACAACAAGAGTTCTTTAGAGATTTTAATTAAGAACACTACTGCTGTACTTTATGTGAAAGTTTATTATGGTGCCTAAGCACTCTAAGCTCTCCTCCATTGTGGATTGTGGCTTATGTCTGAGGGTTTGTGCCTGTGTGTGTGTGTGTGCGCGCACATGCGCACGCTTGTGTGAGTGTGTAATTTTTATGACAAATGATATAATATGAAATATGAGAACAAAGTCCTCCTTTGGCTTACCCTTCTCAAAGGCACAAACTGGAGAAGCTGACTAATTGATTTTTTTGCCATTTTCTTACTATAACCTAGAGACTTGAATTAACTCAAATCAAACATCACTTGTTAAATACTATAGTATCAGTTATTGGACTAGATGTGTTTCATGATTTCTTTAATCTTTACAACAAGTCAATGAGGTCTCTCACAATGACAAGATGAAGATTCAGAGAGGTTAAGTAAGATGTCCAGAGCCACATAGGTAGTAATAGATAAAGATAGAGCTGAAATTCAAGTCAGCCACACTCTGAAGCCTGGGCCCTTTCCGCGCTCTCTCTCAAGCAAAATTACTGAGCTTTCTACTTGGAAGTGAGTCTAGGTCACTCCAAAGGCCAACTCGTGCCTTCTCCAGGAAGTCTTGAATGATCATTTATGTAAGTGCATCTTCTCACCTCTACTCTGATATTACTTTCTATTGCTTCTCATAGTTTGACTTTTATTTAAGCTGTGTGCCAGTGGGAAGGACAATATAATGTGACACTTAGAAAAGCATGGAATTTGGAGACAACTGGAATGTATTCCTTATTCTGCCTTTTCCTATCTGAGTCATTTTGGACAAAATTCAGCACAGCTTAAGATTCATGTTGTTGATGTGAAGATGAAAGGAGAGCATGTGTGGAAAGTTCTCAGAATGTGTCATAGTACATGGGAAGCACACAATATATGGTGGCTGGTTGGATGGATAAAAACAGCATAAATGAAGGAATAAATGGCAGTGACCTTTGCTTGTTTATAGGATCACCTCTTCAACATTGCACTCTGTGTCAGTTCAAAATGTAATTTTAAAAATATGAAAATGAATCTCATAAAGACTTGAGAAAGCCAAGTATATCTGACTGAGTTCCAGACTGCCCCATTGTAGTAGAAAAACCTGACTAGATCACACTAATTATAATAGTGTATACAACTTCTTAAAAATAATGGCCACTAAGACCAGAATATGTTGATTATTAACGAGCTGAAATATGGGGTCTATTGTGTTGTGAGTTCCTCCAAACTATTTCATGAATGAAATAGAACAATGGAGGCCAACAGGAGACCTGGACTTGAAATCACAGGGTTCTTATCAGAATTTCAATTCCAATTCCACCGTGTGTAATTATCTATGTGACCTCTATACACAGTAAGCAGTAAATTTCACGGAACTACCAAGACTCCAGGAAGCCGACTCTGAATTTGAAATATATTTGTGTAAAGTTTATTGGGGGTGTTTTCTGGAGCAGCATACGTCAGGGGGTCAGAGAAGCAGGATTGGGTCATACTGGTTGCAGGTGACTTTCCAGGCATTTCTGGAGTTGGAATAACCCTTCAGGGCTGAATTGAAGAAGGAATGCCAAGACTTTGAAGCCTTGCAGACTGTCCTCAGGAGAAGGGTGTAGCATTAGACAGAGGAGCTCTCTTTGGCCAAGAGAGGACATTTCCTGAGAAGAAACGTGGCCGTGAGATATCAACAACCCATAATTCCAGCAGCCGTGGGCATGAGTTTCTCAGTTCTGGAATCTGAGTGGAGCGCCACAGCATCCACTACAGTGGTGAAAGAAGCATTCAAACTCAGGAAACCTGACCCCTCATGACTTCATTATAATTTCTTTCCTTGAAGCTCAATGACTATTATCATTTTCACTTCACAGTTCAAAATATAGAACTCAGAGTTAAGTAACTTACCTAACATGCCAGAGATTGTAGGTACCATGATATCCACTAAAGTCCATGCACATTCCCTAGGACCATACATCTGCCTACTTTGATATCAAATGAAAAGTCACTCAATAGATTGCTAAATTGTTCAGCATTTAATCATTTGCTAAATCTCAGAAGATGTAAGGGGATTATGTGTGTATGTACTTGCATGCAATATTTTAGAACAGGCAGATAGATATTAGCTGTTTCCCCCTGGAGGGTGGAAACACTCAGGACTTCAGAGGAGTAGCAGCAGAAAACCATTACAACACACTTCATATCCAGCAGATTTTGTGAGTCAAGTAATTGCTTGTAAACATAACACCATGCAATAAACCCAATATATATTATTTGGACTTCACAAAATAATTTCATATTATTTCTGTAAGTAATTTTTTGTGTATCTCTGATGTTATGATGTACTCACTAGGGATATGGAGGTAAATGGAGCTTATAGATTGGTGATAGAGTTGCGTTGGATTTGGACTTCAATATTGCAAGAGGTTTCTGCAGATGTGGTCACCCAGAGAATATTATAAACAGACCGATAATAGTCTTAAAGCTTAACCCGCTCCATCATTGCAAATATGAGATAAAAGGAAAGGAAGGAGGGAGGGGATTTACTGAAAGCAATAGCTTATTTGCTCCAGCCTGGAAAATGTCCTACAACCTATGGAGCTGTACTAATGTGTGAATGGGCCTCAACATCAGTGTAAATCCCTGCAGGGTTAGTTGCTATAATCATTAGCCTACCTACTCACAGGATGCCAGCTTTTGGGGATCAGGAGCTCATGGAGGCACAGTAGCACCATGAGACTTGTCTTCAAAACAGGACTGGTCCATGCATCCACTTCTTCCTCCTCATAGATCCCATCTGCTGTGGGAAGTTAGGGCTTCATTCTGAGATTTTGTATTTTCAACTGTAAAGTGAAAATGATAATAGTCATTAAGTCTAACCATCTCCATTTTCTTAATATTTGCTCTCATTAGCCTGGGCCACCTCAGGATCTGTGTGTCTGCCTAAAGGCACAAACAGTTCTCCCAGGCCTCTCCCAAGTAAAATGTGAGAGCAGAGTCCAGCAGGACACTGCATTTGCAAGTAGAATGACATGGACATGAGTCATGATTCTATCACTTTGTAACCAGTAGGCTACTCCGTTTCTCTGGAGTTTGATTTCTTCATCAGCAAAATGAGGTTGGATGAGGGATAATAACCATTCACAATTGTGAGGAGCAAAGGAGAATATTTGTGTTTTTAGAAGGAATTGTATAAAAGTTCCATATAAATAATGATGTTGAGCTGGAGGGCTCTACAGATTCATTTAGCCTGGGAAGAAGACAAGCCTTTACTTGGAGGACAAGGCAGAATCACAGCTGCTGGATTTGTTCTGAAATGAATACAAGACACCTTTGTGAGCCAGACTGACAAATTAGTTTGCCCCACTCCTCACGTGCTGGCTGTCAACTTGTGCCCCACTGCATCCTGTTCCCCATGTTCAAATTCAGTGAAGGTCAGAGTAAACAGTCACCCATTGCAAATCCAGAAATCTGTTTTCTCCTATCTATTGCACATCTCAACCCATCACATTAGAATAACACAGTCAGATGCAGTTAGCCTCAGACTATTCAATTACCCAACGGGTTTCCATATGTCATTAAGCATCATCCTTGTGAGATCAAAAGGGTGCTGCACACACAGAATGGTCATTTCTTCTACTTCGCACTTTCAGCAAATAAGACTTGAAGTCAGGTTGTCATGAGAGTCTTGATTTAACATATCTAAATCCAGTAATTTAGAACTTTCATTGTATCTGAAAATGCTCAGGACCCATCACTGAGTGTCTATTTTGATTTCCCTGGAGGTTGAGAAGGAGATGCCTTTCCAGGCTTCTGAGAAAACACATCCTTCTTGGGCCTTCATTTTCTTGCACAGGCTATTCTTCTTGCTATCAATATGTTTCCTTCTTATCTTAATTGGCAAAATCAGAAAACAAGCTTCAAATTAGCCTCATGTGGAACTCACCTGTGCGTAAAGGTTTTCCTGAAGTTTGCAAAAGCAGAGAAAGTCACAGTCATGCCCCTTGTTCAAAACCCTTCTAAGCACATCAGCTCCAATTTCCAATTCTGCAGTTATTTGTTTAACTATATCCCTTTCCTGTAGACTGTGAAGTCCTTGAAGAATGGCACTGTATTTTCTTCATCTTTTTGATTCAGAACACTTAGTGTGGAATGAGCCTGAAATTGTAAATTGAATAGATGAATAAATATCATAAATATAAAAATAGATATGGTTTTCAAATGTTTATTTTCAACAGAAATATTGAACTCATTGTCCTTTTGTGAGGTGACATTCATTTTTTGAACACCATGCAAAATTATGCTGGCTATTTTCCAAGGAATAAAACAATGGAAAATTATACCAGAAAGATGAGATTTCTTCACTTCCTCCTTTCTCCACTGTGGGTAAGTTTATGATTTTTTTTTTTATTTCTGCATTAGCTATGTGTAGAGGATTACGTGCTCACAAACAGGGTGTTCCCGATAAGTCCTGCTCTCGCAAACGAAGCAGGGCGTTCCCGACAAGTCCTGCTCTTGCAAACGAAGCAGGGCGTTGGGGGCCTGTTTATATGCAAACATCTTGAAAATCCAGAAAGTCAGGGAAAGGTCAGAAAAACAACAATGTGTCTTGTGACTTGGCAACATTCCACAAACGACTGTATAAAATAAAGCAGAGCGCGCCATTCGAGGCGGCCGCCATGTTTGTCCTGTCTTGTGTTGTCTTGTGTGTTCATTCCTTTGTTTAGGAAACACGCGGACCCCAACAGCTATGGGCTGCTATAACATGCATAATTATTTAGTGGACTACTAGACTTAATGATAAAGTCTGTCTGATAGGCAGAATGATGTCTTGGAACTGTCACAGCTGAGTTGGGAGAAAGATATAGCTCAAGATGAATGGCTGAATTCAGATTAAATCATCACTCTTTGGGCATCTACTAAAGATTGGATATGGTGCTGAAAACATGACCTATGTTATCTTAATAGCCAATTGACGCTAGCGCTGCCGTAGTGCAGGTGTAGAAAGGGAGGCCCACAGAAGTGATTTAATTTGCTAGAGGTGACCCAGCTGTTAAGCATATGCTGGGTCCAGATGTCTAGTTTCACACAGACTGGGAATGGGCTGGGATTCAGAGAGGACATGGGCGTGCTTAGCTAGTGGATGTGTCTCCAAGATAGCCAAGTCCCTGCCAACCCTGAGGTTCTGTGATCTGCGTGGCTTGGTGATGACCTCTACTGGCTAAACTTCCTGGGCTGGCAAAATGCAGTGAGGTTGGAGATTGGTGGGAAGAAGGGCAAAGGATCTGAGTTTGAGTATTAGTCTAGTCGCCTATTGGATGCATTGGGTATTTCTTGCTTAATGCCACTGTTCTGCCTATGTCCTTCCATGGCTCCCCAGTGCTCTTTGCACAGAGATCATGACTGTGAGTTGCTGCATGGCCTGCCTCTCCTTCCCACTCCAGCCTCAACTCATTCCATACCCTGCTCCCTGCCTTGGGGCTGGGCATACCAGGAGGCTTCAGAGCCTGTTCTCTCTTGCCTTTGCAAGTGCTGTTTATTCTGCCTAGAATTCTCTTCTCATCTCTCTTGTGCCACCTGAAAAAAAGCCTTTTCATCTTTCAGCTCTCAACCCAAGTGTTTCTCAAGGCAAGCCCTTCTGCTGCCCCACGGCCAGCTCACCTTCCGCTGTGAGTCCCGGTCTTCCTTTCCTTCAGAGTACCTAACTTGCTTTGCAGGTAGCATTTGCTAATGGATTCGGTAATTAATATTGGTCTTTCCTTTTAGACCGGAATCTCCATAAGAGCAGGGACAGCATAGCATGACTGGCACAGATCGTGTTGTCTACTCACAGACAGCTACTATCTAAACATTTGCTTGCCCTCTCTGAATCCCAGATAGTCTCCATTCTGTGTGAAACGAGATTATGGTAGTTGGTAAATCAAAATTTGTGATTCACTTTCAAAAAACTGTTTGCCGGCCGGGCGTGGTGGCTCAAGCCTGTAATCCCAGCACTTTGGGAGGCCGAGACGGGCGGATCACGAAGTCAGGAAATCGAGACCATCCTGGCTAACATGGTGAAACCCTGTCTCTACTAAAAAATACAAAAAACTAGCCGGGCGAGGTGGCGGGCGCCTGTAGTCCCAGCTACTCGGGAGGCTGAGGCAGGAGAATGGCGTAAACCCGGGAGGCGGAGCTTGCAGTGAGCTGAGATCCGGCCACTGCACTCCAGCCTGGGCGACAGAGCGAGACTCCGTCTCAAAAAAAAAAAACAAAAACAAAAAAACAAACAAAAAAAAACTGTTTGCCATTTCTTCAGATTACAAACTCTAATTGGTCAAATGACTAATAGTGAATGAATGGAGAAGGAAGGAGTAGACACAACTGGTCTTATCATTGCTTAGCTGTCTGTAAGGCTTGAGCTGCAGAGTTCTTGTTATTTTGTAAGTTTTTGACCTCTGGAGGAGAATTCCAGAGCTGGTCTACCTATCTAACTAGGAGCCCATGTTCATAGTAAAATCAATTCTTCATGTAGTATGGAGTTGAGGGATCGGTAAATGCATTGACTTTGGAACCAGACCGCCGGGATTCTATCACTTATTAGCTCTGTGAATTTAAGTGACTGACTTAACCTGTCTCTGACTTAGTTTTGCCATCTGTAAAGTGGGGGCTATTACAGTATTTATGTTGTATGGTTGCTATGAAGATTAAATAATTTATATTTATTTTACAAAGTGTTTATAGTAGTTCCTGACATATAGTACATGTTATATAAGTAATTTCTATTATTTTTATTTCTTTTGGAGATGGCACATGCTATGCCTTTTCAAGTGCCAGCCCCTATAACCACTTCCTTCCTAGGCATCCTCCCATTCCCCCAGTAGCTATAGCTGTTTCTGCCTCCCTTCTAAACTGAGTTGCTAAAAATTGAGGGTGTCTTACTCTTAATCTGTGTTGGCTTATGACAATATTGGTTGCTTTTTCCCTCTATTTCCCATTGCAAAAGCTTAGTTCTCCACTAGTAGGAAATGGTCCTGTTGTCTCAATTATACTTGGGCTCTGCCCCAAGAAAATTTGATTGACCAGGTGCAATCAGGCAACAGGAACAATGCTGGGCGGGGAGAGCTTGAGAAAGGTGGCTTTTGCTGGTATGAGTCAATACAGTTTAGCTCCCCTGTGCTAAGTGGAGCTGCAAGTTCCAATGTGAGTCTGTGTGCTCACTAACTCTCCCCTGGTTGATCTCTCAGTGGGCTCCTTAGCTGGCAAGCTGGCATTACACAAACAGGAATGCTAATGAAATGCCTTTCCAAGATGGGCTGCCAGGCAATGTAAACACAGAACTAGTTATTAAGGCTCTCTAATGGCATAAGAGAGTTGAGACTAAAGTCTGAGTTGGCTAAGGTGAAGAATGTTGTCTGGTATGGAAGACAGAATCCAGGCTGTACCAAGTAAGACATCAGTGACCTTAGGGAAAGTCCCTTCCTCTCTGTGGCCTTCCCCATGTATTAAAGGAAAAAGCTCATTCATCCACTCAACACATATTTATTGAGCTTCTACTGTGTTCCAGGCACTGCTGGAGAGATGAACTCTCAGATGCATTATGTTGAAATCATTTTGTGAAATACATGACTGAAAGTTCAAATATGGTGAACCTGGGGACGGGAGCAGATGGACTGCAATATCTTAATCTGTGTAATCAACACGTGGCAGAAAGCGTGGTGCATAAGATGAGCTCTGAAAATATTTGGTGTTCGTTTAAAAATTCTGCTTTTGACTTTCTTACTTTCTAAAATGTTTGTATACTATTTTATTGATGTAGTTTTTCATATTGATTATTTTCTTCCTTCTATTTACTTTGGGTTTACTTCGTACTTCTTTTTCCAACCTTTGAAGGTGGAAACATGAACCACTCTTAGTCTTTTATTTTTATAAAGTTGTAAAATTTCCTCTAGCACTGCCTTAGCTGTGAATATTTTTTTATTTGCTGTGTTTTTACTATGATTGTTTCAAATATTTTAATGTCCTTTGTGATTTTTCAACCTATGTGCTATTTGGAAGTGTGTTGTTTAATTTCTAAATATTTGCGTATTTTATGTTTTTAGTTATTGAATTCTAATGTATTTCCTTTGTACTCAGAAATACAGTTGGTAAGCACTGTGGTATTTCCTGCAAGCTCTCGAAGAGACTGGCTCTATATATGTACAACCTAGCTCTGGGCCAAGGATCCACTGAGATTTCCCCATCCAGCGTTCTGAGGACTCTTGTCTGAATAGTGCCCTTCTCTTTGTTAATCTGCGTTGCAAATTCCAGTTTGCATTCGCAGCCCTCAACTTTAATCTCTGCCACCCCAGCTCAGCAACACTGCCGTGCTTTCCTTGGGCTCCATCTCATTGTGACATGCAGATCCCTGAAAATTCCCTATGGCAGAAAGTTGAGAAAATATTGATCTCACCGCATGTGTTTGCTTTTTTGCTAGCATTGCAGTCCTCCTCCAAAAAATGCTTCACCTATTTTGTTCTGTTTCGTAGTTGTTTACCTTTGTGAAGGGAGGAAGAACAGTCTAGGTAACACCCATACTCTGTTGCAGCCAAACCCAAAATATTACTTTTTAATTTAATCTTATTTAAGTTGCTAATATTGACATAACCAGGTGGGTTCTGGAAGTTTAGGTTTTAAAATGCATATTTTTTAATTTCCAAAGTGTGCTTATTTTATTTTTGCCAGGGCCATCTTTTAGGTTTTTAATGTAACTTTTCTTTGCCTATCTAATTGTGATTTATTTCTGTTTATACATTTTGAAGAAAAAATTATTAAATCATCTTTTTTGCCATTTGTGAGCTTCCATCATTTTGAGCAACTAAGTTGTGCCTGCAATTGCTATATAAAACCTCTTTCTAACAATATCTGAACAGTGCTTTTTACTTGATGTTTTTTAAAGATAACATAAGAACTAGTTACAAATGACTAATTTAATACATAAGATCAACTGTGAATGACTTACTAATTGGTTTACTTAAGCACAATGTCATCATCTCACAGTGAAATGATATCCTGATAAAGCTCTAACAGGTCGATGCCTCCCATCTGTGCCCACTCAGGTGACAGTGAGTACTTTAGTAACGTATTCTGGGTAATACTGCTCTCTTGTGCTTGATTAGATGTTCTTACTAATTCATGTC